CAATCAATGAGACGAGATTGGAGGTGTTGGTTAAAGCTGCCCTATAAAAACACACACCAGTTTTGAGTTTGCTATTCTCAAGAAGCATTGGCCTGATGTGAACCATACCTTGACAAGAGCTTAGAAGCCCTCGATTAAGAATTGTTGATTGCATAAGCTGGAAAGGGTTACAAAAGTATCCTAAAAGCCTTGATGTTCATCAGTCCACGGTAAGACTAATTGTCTATAAATGGAGACATTTCAGCACTGTTGCTACTCTCCCTAGGAATGGCCGTCCTGTACAGATGACTGCAAGAGCACAGCACAGAATGATCAATGCGGTGAAGAAGAATTGTGGAGAAGTGTCAGCCACAGACTTACAAAAATCTCTGGCACATGCTAACATCTCTGTTGACGAATCTACGATACGGAAAACACTAAACAAGAATGGAGTTCATGGGAGGACACCAAAACATTGCTGCACGTTTGAAGTTTGCAAAAGAGCACCTAGATGTTGCTATCATCAACGGAAAAATGAATTCCCAAGTTTATCAAGACATTTTGCAGGAGAACTTAAGGCCATCTGTCCACCAATTGAAGCTCAACAGAAGATGGGTGATGCAACAGGACAACGACCCAAAGCACAGAAGCTTTGAGGGAAACGTTTGGTTGAGGTTATTGCTGCCAAAGGCGGTTCAACCAATTATTAAATCCAAGGGTTCACATACTTTTTCCACCCTGCACTGTGAATGTTTACATGGTGTGTAGAATAAAAACATGAAAACATAATTGTTTGTGTGGTATGAGTTTAAGCAGACTGTGTTTGTCTATTGTTGTGACTTAGATGAAGATCAGAACACATTTTATGACCAACTTATGCAGAAATCCAGGTAATTCCAAAAGGGTTCACATACTTTTTCTTGCAACTGTTTTTCTTGATTGTACAAAATAAAAAATGATTAGGTCAGATGCGTGTTAAGATAAGGCCACTAGAATGGAACTTGGAAAAAGTGTTAGTCCAGGTAGAAGTGGTGTGATTGGATCATCACTTGCTGTGCGTGCAGTAATCTCTGATCCAACCCAGACCCTCCTCTGTGAAGCCTAAAGTGGACGGAGAGGATTATTAACATGTATTCTTTCTAAATGGGTTTCGTAATTAATCAAACAAAAAGAGCCCTCACCAAGTGGCTTATATTCACAGCCGATGTATCCCTGGTAGTCTTGGTCCTTCAGAGTGTTGAACAGGTAGCTGTAATCAAGCTCCCCGGCACTGTCAGGCTCGTTCCTGCCCGGAACCTGAGCAATCTGAACGTGACCTGAGCGAGACGATGAGACTTCTTCTTAGACTGCTGTTTTTCATCTTTATTACTTCCAGAAGCTTACTGAGCATGCTCTTTAATCAAAAGCTCTGCCTCACATTATTACAGTCAAACGTTTATTCTCAGTAGCTGAAGATGCACTGGTGTGAGTCACAGGCATTTGACGACAGGCATTTGCACACAAGACCGATTTTGTCTGATATTGTCCGAAAACAAAGTTTGATCACTTAAACCACTGTGCGTTTAATGGCTTTGTGAGATTGAGGGTGATGCAACAGCATGAGTTCGTACATCTCTTATCCTACCTCGTCCACATCTTAGTTAATTATCTGAATCGTCAATACAGGCTTAGGTCAGCTCTCAACAACCAATTTCTGTTTGTTTGGTACAGAACACTAAATGTCACATCACAAGTTTTTTTCAATTAAAATGAAATATATACATATACACACACACACACACACACACACACACACACAGATACATACACAGATATATACATATACACATATATACACACATATATACACACACATATATACATACAGTATATACACATATTTACATATATACACACATACACACACACACATATATACACATATACGCATACATATACACACACACCTATACACACACACCTACACACACATATATATAATATTTATTTTCATAGTTTACAACCCTGCTATTTAGCAGTCGGGGGTTTAAACACATAAATCAACTTTTTGATAATTGATATTCAATATTACAAATAATATCACAATACAAGTGTATAAATATTCTCTTACACCACTAATCATCATCATTCTGTATTCATCTGTATGAAGATCTGACTCACCGATTATGGGGAAATACTTGTGTATGTTATGTGTCAGGTTTCCATCCATTATTTGCCAGTGAAAGACGTCCTGAAACAGTTCAGACATCTGTTAAATCAATATTTTTTTGTTATTATTTTGAGGTTAAAACACCCACCATTTGCAGCTTGATATTTGTCTTTCCAACCTTCTCCAGAATTGCAGCTGCTACAGACACAAAAATAAATAATATCAGCTGAGACATTATGTATGCCAGAGAGGACATGGTAGACATGAGACACACCTTTATCACACATTGCTGTACTCATACTGCACAGCATTAACTCTGCCTCGTTTTGTCTAAGTCATTACATTTCCATTTTTGATAATGTCCAGGACTTAAAACTTAAAACTTAAGACTTAAAAATTACTTATTACTCACCAGTTTCTCGTGTCATATCAGATATGCAAGAACATGACGACAGCTCATGAGACATTTTAACTGACTAACTCACTCACATCCAATATGGCAACCAAATGTTTGTTGGAAGAAGGACACCACTGGTGAGTGCAAATATTAAATGTGTTCTTTTACACCAAATTCTAAATGGTAGGAATGCAGCATTACAGCAGTCTGAAGTTGTCTGTGGGCTCAATGTTTGATCATTCAAAAATCTGGCTGGATAGTTTGTAGTAACAGTCTGAAAATGTAGCCAATTCTCTCCATAGGGTATCAGCTGAACAAAAAATGCGAGAGCAGAAACAGAAAAACAGTGACAGACTTCATAATTCCCACCAGCTCATAGCAAGTAAACATTTGTGCTCAGCTGGGCCTATATTTTGGTGAAAGTTGCAACGTGGTTGTTTTAGATGGTTGCTGTAGCGCCACCATTAGGGCGATTATCCCACAATACCAGTTGAAGAGGTTTGACAAAGGACTGGACCTATGTGGAAGGTTTTATTTATTTTCATGCAGATTTCCTTGTAGGAATAACACTAATAATTAGGGATGTCCGATATTCCGATATTGTCCAAC